CCAATTTTTGTGCACCGGGCCTCTAGTATATATATATAAAAGGCTAATATGCAAAGTGTCCCCTCGAGAGTTCAACCGGGGACTGGGACTTCGATTGCTCGCTATGACATGTGCTGACCACCAGGGGGCAGTGTGGAACGAAGAAAAGCCCCGGTTGTCCCTGATCGCCAGCCAGGCCTAGGGAACCTACCCGTGCATGAATTTCATGCACCAGACCTCTAGTAGGGTTATAAACAGCCCTAGAGAGAAGAGTTTCTCCATGCAAACAGTTCAAGCCTTGGGATTTGTAAAAGAGAAAGGCAATAAGATCACAAAGAGTCAATAGTATAGAAACTGAACCAGATTCTAGAATTTAGTTCAATTCACAAGGTACTTATGAAGTGCCCATTGTGTATGGGCTAGGGCAGGTACTAGAAGTGGGAAAAATAGAGGAAGTCAACTATATAAAAATTTGATCTAGAATAAAGTCCCTGTCCCTGAGGAGCTTAGCATTTCATTGGGGGCTATGTAATGAAGTTTTGACATGCATTATACAGTGAGTGAGGAGTATAAAAGTTGGGAATAGAGAGATGCCTGTGCCATTTATATAGGTCTGATGTCCCATGAAGCATGAAAGAGGTAATTATTAGGCAAAGTAAAGACAACCATATTTTACTTTATGGGTAATAAACTGTTAGAATTCACATCCCCAGGCTAAAAGACATAAACATATTCTTAATGCGTTACAATTGGAATAAAATTATATTCCATATATTTAGAACTAAACGCAGTAGGGATTTAATGGGACCATTTGAAAATGTCGTAAGTGTTCAGAAAACCTTCCAGACGTCCTCATGAGTCCTCAATAGGGAAGAAAAGACCTGAGGAAAAACTAACATGGCTTCAGAAGTATGCTTTGTCTTGAGTAGCTTTAGTAATTTATGGGATATAGAGCCAACCATAGCATCTCATAAAGGACCCCCAAATTCTCCCCCCATTTTTCTCCCCCCCTTTATCCCTCCAGCACATTTTCCACCTTGCCTCCTCCTGCCCCACACATACTTAAGAGTGATAAACCTGATATTTGTACACAATGAAATTAGTAGCCATCTGGTGTATTCTGAAGAACCAAGTCATCAAGGTGACATAGAGAATAATAGCAGTGTGTGTGAACATCAGTGAGCTGCTGCTGTTATGCTTAGTGTCAGTCTGTCAAAAGCAATGTCATTTTTTTCCCCATTGGTAACACAAACATTATTATTTACACTTAACTCAGTTAACC